TTCTTCCCTCACCCTCAGATTCAGTTAATTGTCATGTCCTATCTAGCAAGACCTCTAAAATGTGTCTCTCCTCTGATAGCCATTCCCAGGCCTCTCCAGTGTCTCTCCTGTGTCTGAGACATAATGGCAAGCTGATAAGGCTGTACAGTGGCAAGGTATGAAGTAAATGATAAACTACAGGGGACACATTTTTTACATGGTTATTTCAGAAACACAATAGACACTGGCATATTACAAAGGCATATTTCAGATTTGCCTTTGAACACACTGTTTTCTGTCTCTGAAATCTCCTTCCTCTTTTGCTCCCAAGAGCATCTCTCCAAACTTAGGTTAAATGTCACTGACTTTGCGAAACTTGTTAGACTTCCCTAGGCAGATTTAGGTATCCTCTGCTTTGTCTTTGTTTAGTACTTTTCATTTTCTTCTGTTAGAGTATCTATCCTGTTCAACTATCATATAATTTTAAATAATTTAGACAAACCCAGTAGGCTGTAAGCCCTTAGCAGGGGCAGCTCATGGCATTAATCATCATATCCCCAGCACATAGTCTCATGCCTACCATCGCAGTTGCTCAATAAATATGTGCTTGAAAGTCTATATATGAGATGAAAAGATTAAAATGCCCCTGGTTGTTGTCATTGTAGAATAATTTATTTGTACTCTTTCTCCAGCGTGAATTTGGTTTAACTTTCAAAAGTATATTCTAACAAGATAAAAGAATGTCTCTCTTTTGCCCTTTTAGGCGACCTCTTCAACCCAAAGCCAAAATATCCTCAGATTAAGACAGTTGATATGATTAGTGTTAGAAAAGATTTTACATAATGAGATTTGGTTTACTTCAAGAAAATTTGGATGAATATGAGTCTCATGCAATATTTTAACATTGTAATTCATTGCTGACTCTACAGGGCAAAGGAGATCATAACCTTTAGTCCAATTTAAGGATGATGAATTGAGGTTTTTTACCAACAAGGCAGAGGATCAGAGATGTCTTGCTTCAGGTATAAAACTGCAAATTGCACCTATATTTAAAGTAAGCAAATGCACTGCCATAATAGTTGATATTTTGCTAAAGTAAGAAGTTGATGTCATTATAGTGATAGTTGCTAAAATAGAAACTAAAACTCAATTAGTTAATAAATACCTCCTCTGTGCTGTGAATTACATGATATGGGGATGATGCCAAAAATGATGCTCAGTCTGGCACTGAGATGCTTACTATCGTGTTTGAATGTTAAGAGAAAGGAAAATCACAAAGCAATAAACACATACCTCCTGGAATAAAAGAGAAGATAATAATTGATAAGTAATCCAAGAAGATATCAGGAACATGGGTCCAATTATTGGTGTGGGAATCTTAGATGGGAGAACATTATAAGCAAAGACTCTTAAAATCTCAGGGTTCTTTGCATTCTCCCTGAGGATAGCCTGATATTACAGAGAAATGCGACTTCTAGTTGGATGGTAAGCATGAGGACCCTTGCCAGAGGGCGTAAATGCACCCATGTGCAGCGATTAGCACTCTATGAAATGTCATAGGGAGATATTGTAGGTTTTTAAGCAGAGAAACAACATAATGTAAATGGAAATTTCAAAATACTCCTTTGATCATTGTGAGATGTCATGGATTTGGCAGGTACTGGAGGTAGGATGATGAACTGGGGCAACAGTCTATTGTTAAGTTTGGTTAAGTTTGGAGCAATTCTGCTACTTACATTCTTAATCTAGTTTATGGTGCTCTAACTGCTTTATTAATAGTTTCTCAGTTGTTTTTTATACCCCTAGCCTGGTCTAGGTCTGGGTCTAGTTTGGGAGTTATTTAGAACACAAATTTAACTATGACAGACATAGTTTAAATAGAGAGCATCAAGTAGTGAAAAGAACAATAGGCCAGTGGCTCTGGTCTCATTTAGCCACAACTAGCCACAGGATTGTGACATCTTTTGATGTCCTCAGAATTTTCTTTCCTAATCGGGAAATGAGAGCACTGACCTATATGAAATCTAAGGTCCTTTCAAGTGAGCTTTGTGCAAACAAAATAATTAAGGGAAGCTTCTAAAATACTCTCCTTATCATTGAGCAGCTAAAATATTGAGCACATATTTTAATAAATACTAAGAGGAAGACAGCTTCCACACTTAAAATTTGGTGGAATATTCCACCCTCCTACAGGAGAGGTGGTAGGTTCATGATGACTGCAATATGCAGGCAATTACCTTTTCCAAGAATGTGTTACAATATAGAAGAAAATAGCAGAAAATTAACCCTTGTAAATGTCACAGTGTGCTTACTGTATAATTTAAGTGGTTTAAATAAAGCTACTTATTTGCATAATGATGTTTTTGAAAGATATACCTTAAAAATAACAATACTAAGCATTGATTTGAAATTAAAACGAAAATAACAAGTGTAAATTAGTCTGGAAAAGATGTCATGTCACTATATAATTAGGTATATTAATAAACATGTGGGCTATCACATATGACACTAAATTTAGCATGAAAATATATTTTAAGATAATGGATCTGTATTTTCTATTGAAAATTTATTTTATTGTGTTTTGCAAACATTTATAGATTTTCATCAGTTTGTTAACCTCTATAATATGGATATGACTATATTAGACAGATGTCTAAATATAAGTACCTCACTAGTATTACTTATCTAAATTGAAGTCCAAATTTGATCACTGCCTGAAATGATTTGTGGAAAATGTGGTGTGAAACATATCAGAGCACTAAGAGAAACACCAAAGATAAGGATTTCTAATGTCATAAAATCAAACAAATTATTATGTCTAGACAGAGTCCAGAGACATGATGGAAAATTTTTAATAAATTGGTTTCATAGACCAAACTGGACATTTGACTTAAGCATCATTTAATTTTTCAAATCAGTGAAATGATGCATAGCAGAAAGTTTAGTTACTTTAAAAAGACAGAGGAAAAGGATATTTTATTCCTTGGAGTATTTTTCTTTAGCTAACAAATATAATACCCAGAACCTAGTCTATGTAGCTCTGTCATTGTAGCTATCTGAGTGTTTGGTAAAAATGCAGATTCCTGGGGTTTCCTGCAGATATATCAGGTCTCTGAACACCTTTGAAATTTGTATTTTCAACAAGTTCTTGAGGGAAGTTTATTATGCATAATTAGTGTCAAGGTCACTTTTCTAGAAGTACTCTTTTGTTCTTATCCTATTATTGGAAACTTTTACTTGTCATTTTGATTATGCATATTGGAAACAGGGTTCTGAGTTTCAAGGTTGAGTAACAGGATTATGCTTTGGTACCTAGAAAGAGCTGGACATATGGCCGGGCGCGGTGGCTCACGCCTGTGATCCCAGCACTTTGGGAGGCCGAGGCGGGCGGATCACAAGGTCAGGAGATCGAGACCATGGTGAAACCCCGTCTCTACTAAAAATGCAAAAAACGAGCCGGGCG